GGGCCTCTCACAAACCTGCCCAGCCACCAGGATCCTGGAGCCTGACTGTCTTCCATCCCTGGTGTCTCTTGGCCACCCCCTCCCAGGAACAGTGCTGTAAAAAGAAAAAAGGGGGATGTTAGAGAGAAAAGAGGAAATAAAGTCTTTGGAAAGCAGAGAGTTTTACAACAGCCACAGGTTTTATGGAAGCAATTCCGTAATAACCTTCTACCTGCTCAGCTCCTTTCCGCCCCGCCTGCCGCCCTCCCCGTTTGGCCTCCTAGATGCCCCCTCCCAAAGAGCCAGCCACCCCCACTGCCTTCCATGTCCCTGATGGCTGAGAGTTGGTAAGAAGATTCCCGAGGTCTGCTTGGGCTGCTGACCTCTCCGTTCCTCCTTTCACCTCTGACATCCTGGGAGGGAGATTTGGCAGGAGATTTCGTTACTTTACAATTAAAATCCCCACCTGGAGGCTTTGGAAGCACTGAGGTTTGAACCCTTGGGTGTAGATTCGATGTGATCCATTTTAGAGGCTGGTTTGGATAAAGGCTGAAGGTTCTGGGGACCAGGGTTTCTTCCCCCAACCCCCCCCCCACCACCACCACAGCAAGCATCCCCACACCTCTTTCTTTCTCAGAGTGGGTCTGGACTCTGGTTCTGGGTCAGAAGAAATATCCCCGGGTGGTTGGGGACATAGACGTGGGGACCTTTCTAATTTCGTTGGAGACAGCAGTGCTGTGTATGACCCCTGCAGTTACCTGAGGGCTTTCACACTGCACTCATCTTTGCCCACTGGCCAGATTCACACTTGTGAGGGACACACTTGTGCACAAGTATGGTGCCTTGATTCTTATGCCCATCACTACCATGAAATAGGCATCACACGATGCACACTGTCCCTGCACTTTTGGGTGAGATACGCAGTAAAGGATGTCATGGTCAAACCAAAAAGTCACAAAATTTCATGACCTCTCCTGGGCCAATTCGAGTCATTTCCTTCACCTTCCAGAGAATTATTTTAGGAGAAAGTTGTAAAAGAATTCAGATTTAAGTTACATGTGCTTGTTTGAGGATACGGTAAATATTTTGCTTAAATATCAAGTCAGCAGATTTTCAAACAAAGCTTCCTAATCAGATAATGTTTTATAGCCAAAATTCAAGTACACGAATACTCAAGTTTTCGCCCTTTCCATAGGTGTGTGATTGTTATAAAAATGTACACAACAATTTTTGGGTAATAGATCTTCTTATATGAACAGACTTGTAAACCCGCATCATTCACAGGGGTTATACACGCATCCACATATGCACCATTGGATCTTCTATATGAATGCCCAAGCACATCTAGTATTATAGTTGGGCATATGTATTTATTACATAGTCTATACACAGCATAGAGCACAGCACTTTTGCACACTGGGTCCCCATAAATAAATATTGATTTGAAATATACCTACAGGACACACACGTCTATCCAAATACAACATGCATAAATTTCAGCTTAGCTTATCAGTTATCAAAGTTTAAACACAAACTTTCCCCCTTTTCCCATTTATTGTTTTTCTTTTTGTTTTTCCTTCTCTCTTTTCCTTCCCTCTGTCTAGATTTTCTCTCTCTCCTTATTGACAAGAATCTTTCCAAAAGTCACCCCTGTAACACGGGCACTCACCGGCTGGGCTGGTCCTGGCCAGGCTCGGCCTCTGCTCTCCCCACCTCGGCCTCGCTCTTGGCTGCTCTGGGCCCCAGTGTGGCCCAGGGTTGCAGCTCTCCCCTGCCTGCCCTTCTATGAGCCACCAGTTCCTGGCCCTAGCTGTGTTCAGGCGCAGCTCCTGTGCTGGGAATGGCTAGAGGATGCGAGGGAAGGCAAGGTTTTCCTTCTTTCTCTTTAGGATCTAGGGTGGGGTGGGGAGCAGTTTGCTCTCCGGACAAAGTGATCCCCCCACTCAAGCAACCTCTCTATTAAGCATCTTTAGAAGCTGGACTCCAGGGGCAGCAATCCTGTTTGCCTCCCTCCTCCACGGTGGGTACCATTGTTTGGGAGAGGAAACAAGGTTCTCAGGGCATCCACAGACCCTCAGAGCACCCAGACAAGGGGCTCCCTCCCAGCTGACACTTTAACCCTTTCCCTGAGCTGGAGTTGAGCTCCAGTTTGGGGCAGCAGTGTTTTCTAGAAAGCCTGGCTAGGGTGGGACTATTGCTTGGTGCATCTGCATCCCCACCTGGAGGGAAGAGAGCTGGGGTGAAGGGTCCAGGGCGTGGGTGCTTGCTCATTCCCTTCGCTCCAGAGTTCCCTATCCTGAGAAGACAGAGACCTCAAAACCTGTCATTTTGAAATTGTCCCCACCCTCCAGTTTTATGAGCAAAGGCGAAGCTCTGGTCTCAGGAAAGAGGCCTGGGTCTCCTCCTTACCCAGTACCTGGGAGCTACCAGGGCTTAGGAGCAACTCCCCATACAGACAGCAACTCACAAACTTAGCCCCCCATCTGCTGGGACTCTCCACCCTTGTGGGGCACAAGTCCTGAGCCCAAATGTTCATCCTCTAACTTCTTCCCTAAACTAAGTGTCCCTCTGGACTTCTCTTATTGCAAAGAGAGGCAGCATCAAAGTCTGGGCCGGGAATGGGAACCAGAAGGGCAGCAGTCAGAGCCCAGCGCCTGCACGGCCTGGGTCTTAAGAACAGCCCAGCGCTGTGGCTTTTCTATAAATAAAAAAGGCCCTGCCCACAGTCCATATGGCCTTTTGGGCCCTAATTTATATACTACAGAAAGTCATATACTCAGCCCGCCATGCTTCATAACACCATTATTTACGGCAGGAGAGGGTTTTTTTTTTCTTTGAAGAATATATTTATTACAGGTAAAGCCAACAGCAGACTCCATACATCTGGCAAATCGAGAACAGGTGCTTTGCCTTAACTGTGATTCATTCGCTCTGCGCGCAGCTTTTTCGCTGTCGAGTCCGGGGAGCTCCCTGGACTTTCCCAAGCGTCCAACCGCTACTTAGAAGAATTTGCATCGGATTTTTGTTTCCCCACTTGGGTCCCATGGAAAGAGCAGATCTTCACGCCGTTTGGTTCCCGGTCTGCTGGGCTGTCGCCTTCGGAGAGCTGGGGTGGAAGAGGAGGGGGCCGGCTGGGCGCTGGCATTGATCTTTAAAAAATCATTTTGAAATCGCCATAATGTGAAGAAATATGGCGCTTCACCCTCGTATTTCACACGTAATGACACGAGATGGCTTCATTTGGGAAAGAAAAGCGGGCGGGAGTGTGTCTGTGTGTGTGCACAGAGGTGATCCGCAGCCTTCTGCACGGCAGAGGGGTACATGGCCAAAAAGATAAAACCTCAAATTAGAATGGCCCTGCTTTTGTTAAAAGGACAGGGCTGGGAACAGCCTATCGGTTGAGGGCCCAGGGCCCGGCAATGCTGAGAAAACCCGCCCCAGCCTGCTCCTAAACCCACCCGGAGGAGAATCGGGTCTGTCCAGGGGCTGTGCCTCCCTGTGTGCCTGCATCACAAGAAGCGACTGTACCCAGGGCAGAAGCTGGAGGAACAGCGGCTGGGAGATGAGCCAGGAAGCCAGCCGGTGGCCCCAGGGGAGTCCCAGCGCAGGGCCGCATAGTAGATACCAATAAAACGGGCTATCTGAAAGCTCCAGCCAGAGTTCACAGGAGGGAAGGCGACGGGTGGTCGGGAGACTGACCCGCAGGCTCTCTGTCTACACTGGTACCTAATACCGATATTTGGAAATCTATCAGGACGGCAATGCCGGGCGAGAGGAGCCGTCCAGAAGAGGCAAAACCTCACTGGTCCCCTTCTTCCCTGGGTGTCAGGGGAGGTAACCATGGGACCCCTGTCCATACCTCTGCTCTGCTGACACTTTAGGGAAGTTCCCTTAACCCTTTCTCACATTCAGCTCCCCCAACGGGCAATTTTAAGGGCCTGGGCAGTTACCAGGGAAGGGAAGGAGTCATGGCTATGCCCCCACCCCCGGAACCCCATACTTCCCTCTGAGCAGGGCCAGAGAGAGGCCCTAGAAATTTAAAGGAGCTTTGGCTAGTTGTATTAAACTCTTTTAGAGGCTCAACTTTCCAGAGCCTGATGAATACCTTCAACCTCATGTAGGTTCTGATTTTAGGATAGCTAAATTTTAGGACCAGATCATTGGACACGCACCCCCTTTGATTCCCCTGTCTCCTCTCTCAGCTACGGAGGGGTCAGGAGAAGCTCCCAGGCCTGTAAACCTCCCAACATAGTCACAGAGAACCCTCCAAAGCGGATAACGCCCTATAACCCCCCCCCAACTTCTCCCCCATCCCCTTTACTTCATCTCCAATGGATTGCCGCTGCACCGCTGTTTAATAAACATCTTGTGTCAAGGGGACAGAGGAGAGGAAACGAGGCCTGCGGGGTGGAGTGGCAGTGCTTTGGGGGGCGGCGGAGAGGACCACCTCCTCTTTAATTATGCTGTGGGCCTCTCGGTCTGCGCCCCAGGCTGGCTCTCTCCCTCCCTCTGCCCAGCTCGCCCTCGCTTCCTCCCGGACCCGCCTGGGGAGAGGGCTCCACAGCCTGCATCCCTCCCGAGGCAGCCCGCTGCTTTCCCTCCGCCTCTCCTCCGCCCCCGCCGCCCCATGTCGAGAACAACCCCCCTGCGCGGGCGGGCGGGGGGGCGCGGGCGGGCGGACGGGCGGCCGGCAGCTCGGGCTGAGGTTACGTGGCCGCCGGAGCCCTGACGTGATAGCACATTGCATCAGCATAAAACAATCCATCCTCGATATGGAATGCGGTGCGGACGGATGACAGCGAGAGCGCAGCCCCCTCGCCCGATTGATTTATGTTGGAGCTGACGCTTTATCAGGCAGTCGGAAAAACTTTGACCAATCATTTTGCAAGGAGCGCTGAGCCGGGCTGCTCCACTGTACTTTGTTGGCTGAGAAGTTGAGCAGGGGGTGGGGGTGGGAGGGTGGGGGGCTGGGGGGGTCGCGTCCGAAAGCCCTCACACCGGTCTGGGTGCCACCTCTCCCTGCTTGGGCGCCGCCGCGCGAGCGCTTCCCTTCCCCCTGCGAGCGCCCGGATAATGTCTGAGAATGTCCATTTCTGGGACGCTTAGCAGCTATTATGTCGACTCGATCATAAGTCACGAGAGTGAGGACGCTCCTCCAGCCAAGTTTCCTTCCGGCCAGTACGCGAGCCCCCGGCAGCCGGGCCACGCGGAGCACCTGGAGTTCCCCTCGTGCAGCTTCCAGCCCAAAGCGCCGGTGTTCGGCGCCTCCTGGGCGCCGCTGAGCCCGCACGCGTCCGCAAGCCTGCCGTCCGTCTACCACCCCTACCTGCAGCCCCAGGGCGTCCCGCCGGCCGAGAGCAGGTACCTCCGCACCTGGCTGGAGCCGGCGCCGCGCGGCGAAGCTGCTCCGGGGCAGGGCCAGGCGGCGGTGAAGGCGGAGCCGCTGCTGGGCGCGCCTGGGGAGCTGCTCAAACAGGGCACGCCCGAGTACAGTTTGGAAACTTCGGCGGGCAGGGAGGCCGTCCTGTCTAATCAAAGACCCGGCTACGGGGACAATAAAATTTGCGAAGGAAGCGAGGACAAAGAGAGGCCGGATCAAAGTAAGTTATAAAAAGTGAGGAAATACCAGGCCGAAGGCCAGGCGAGGGGGAGGGGAGGGGAGAGGCAATAAACTGCGGACAATGTGAAGGGAGACCGCGGCGGTGGCCGGAGAGCGAGCGGGGGAGGAGGGAAGAGGGAGCAAGGAGGCAAGCAAGCGGGGTGTCCCCGAAGGGCAGACAGGCCGCTGGAGGAGCGCCGCCCCCACGGCTCCGCGTCCGGGAGGGGAACTGGGGCGCAGGCACCACCTCGCTGCTCTCTCGGCCTCCCTTCCCCCACTCCCCCGGGGCTCGGGCTCAGAGCCCGGGGAGGAGGCTGACGACCGCCGGCCGGGGAGAGGGGCTGGCGGGGCCGGGGACCGGGCGGCGGCCAGCGAGGCCGGGAGCCCGCGCGGGGCTGCCCAGGGCCGCGCGGCTGGCAGAGCTCCGCGCGCGACGCGCAGACCGTAAAAGCCGGCCAAGGGGAAGTGGGAGGGGGCTCATTAGGATTTTATTTGCGATGCAACAGCTTGGCGGAGGATCGTTCCTAGCAGATCTCCCGCAGTAGCCGCTCACGGTCCGCAGCCGGCGCCGGGAGGGGCGGGGAAGCCCAGGACCCGGTGACTGAGCCCCCTCCCCGGATGCGCCGGCCCCTCCCCGGGAGCCTTCCCTCCGGCCGCCCCCTCCCCTCCTTGGCATCCTCGCCCGGGTTGCAGCTTCCTTTTCTGCAGCCCCCCGCTGCGCGCCGCGGGGCTCCCTAGCCCCAGCCGGAGCTGTCCGCCTCTCGGGGAGTCCGGGAATCGCTTCTGAACTTCGGGGCCGACAGCCAGAGTGGAGAAGGAGAGATCCCGAAGGGACCCTGAGGAGAGGAAGGGTGGGAGGGGGTTGGGAAGAGAGGCTTGCGGAAAGGCGGAGAACTTTACCCTCCTATGGTAGTTACTCCTCATCTCCCACTCCTCCAGAAGCACCCCCGCCAGGAACCCAAGTCTGGCTAATTTCCAGGAGGTGCTGCTGGCTGGAGGGGGGGGGGGCGGCGAGTCTCATATTTTTCGTTTGTAAGGCTGAGAAAGGCAAATTAGTTGGGGGCTCTTAGCTCCAAACAATAACCCCCAGGCTGGCCGGAACAAGTCCTCACCCCTTACTCTTTTGGGGGAGCGAGGGTCAGATTTTTTTCGTCTCTGCTTGCCCTGCCAGATTTCCCATCAACATAGTAGCCCACAGGCCCTTTGGGGCATCCTCGTCTGCTGGAGGATAGAGGGCTGTCCCACTCCCCTGAGGTCCCTGCAGGGTGCTACCTCCTCCAGCCAGCCGGGGTTAAGAACCAGAACTAGCGTTTGGGTAACACAGGCTCTTCCCAAAACCTCCCGGCTCACACCCAAACAGACCCCCCACCCCAAAGCCCCAAACTCTGCCTGGAAAGCCCATTACTGCAAGGCCGTGGTTTGGCTAGGATCAATTATTAACAGTTTTTTTCCTCTTTCATATTTAATGTGGCTGCGGGTCCCATCCCAGGCAATCACATTAAGGAAATAGCACTGCAAATTGGTAAGACACGGTACTTAGTGTAGGAGGAACCAGATTATTTTTTAAAAATATATTCAGTGCTTTTCATTTGGGGAGAAGAATCTAGCAAAGGGTGGCTGTTATTTTTAATTGGGTCTGCTTTATTTGGCAACTTTTCTGAGTTCAGGAGGGTAGGGAGAGAGACGGTAAAGGAGACAAGCCTGTATATATTTTTGTTTCCTCTCCCCGCCCCCCACTCAATTACCCCTTTCTCTGCTCTTCCTCACATGGAACCAGTTGGAGTTAGGTGTGCTGTGAAGGGCTTTCTGTTACCCCCCACATCATCCATGGCTCCCCACCTTGGGACTGGAGCAATCTTGCTTCCCAATTTCCCTGAACTTGCTTTAACCAAACTGCGAGCTGAGCAGGAGCGGAAAAGGAGAGACTATTGCAACCATAAGTTATCTGTGAGCCCCTGGCGCTCCCTTGTCCACAGGCTGGAGTTGATAAATGGTTGCAATTGGGTTGCATGTGAATTGGAGTGTGCTGGATGTTTGCGTCTCTAAGTGCAGACCCATGTTTGCGGTGTGTGCGTGGAGGGGGGGGGACAAGTTATCTACAGACACACATGCCTGCTGCCATGTGGCCAAGGGATGCAAGCTTGTGATTAAGGCAGGGTGCACTCTGACTGGGCTGGAGAGCCAGGAGGTTTCTCAGCTGTGGCTGAATAGAAGCCGCTCTCCCCCAGCCCAGCCCTACTCTAACGCCCCCAGACCCAAGGCCAGGACCCTCCAGGTCAACCACCTCTGGTTAGTCTGGTGATGCCAGTGTGTTTGTGTGTGGGGGGTGCTTTAGCCATGTTGGGCTTTGACCTGAGTCCTGACCAGTGGGGACCCAAGTGGAGAAAGAGATTGAGAGAGGACCGGAGGCAGGCAAAGCTTTGGAAATGCTGAGAAGCCTGGTACGTGTTTAGCTCCACTCTGTCCAAGTAACTCTCACCTGAAGGTGTCAATAGCAACTCCTGGCCCATCTCTGGGACGCCTTCTGGGAACTTGAAGGCCCAGGTCCCTTCTCTGCAATGCAAGATGGGGAGTGGAGGCCAGGGGTACGTCCTTTTGGAAGGAGAACATGGGGGCCTTTCATCCCCCCTTCCTTTCTTTGATTCTATCGCTGCTTCTCTTTCAGCCAACCCCTCCGCCAACTGGCTGCACGCTCGCTCTTCCCGGAAAAAGCGCTGTCCCTACACCAAATACCAGACGCTGGAGCTAGAGAAGGAATTTCTGTTCAATATGTACCTCACCAGGGACCGTAGGCACGAGGTGGCCAGACTCCTCAATCTGAGTGAGAGACAAGTCAAAATCTGGTTTCAGAACCGGCGGATGAAAATGAAGAAAATGAATAAGGAACAGGGCAAAGAGTGAAGACCCCCCCCCTCCCCAACCCTCCCCGCCCCTTCCCCATCTCACGCGTATTTATAAGTGATGGCTACAGGGCCAGTGCTGTCTGGGATGTATTCAAGTGAATGGGGAAGGGAGTCTTTCTCCTCCAAGTCCTTTTCTGCATCTAGAGCATCTCCTTTCCTTTGCCCTTTTACCTGTCCTTCTCTTCTCCCTGAGCCTCAGAAGGAAGTTTTGTTGATTTAGAAGGTAGACATGTAGTTGGCTTCTAACAAGGTGATGGGCCACAAGGAAAGAGAGACCCTAGTCAAGCCCCCCTAGCAATCCCCTTAATTTTTCTGGGAAGCCCCAGGCCCTCACTTCCAGTCTACCTATCTCCACCCCCTACCTGCACCCACCCCAAAGTCACCCAGGGACACTCCAACTGTATACAGCCCAAAAGAAGCCCACATACATAAAGCCTGGAGCCCACAGTAATAACGGGGAAAGCTCACAGCCAACACTCAATGAAGTGACACCCCAAATTCAGACCATCGCACCCCAAATCTGGCAGAACAGCCCTCAGACCACCAGCAAGCCCAGATTTTACCTTTGGCACAAGTAACACATCAAGAAGATGTCTAGAGACACATTCCTGAATGAGGCTCTGTAGCCCAAAGGGCTCAGCATCACAATACCATCTCTATGGAATCCCCAACTGTACCCCCTCTGGACCCAAGGGCAAATGGGGGTAAACTCAGCCCCCAAGCTGGGGGGCTAGAAGGGGCAAGGAAAGGCAGCAGTGGTCTTATGAAGGTATCCTAGGACTTATGAAGGTGTTCCACACACACACACATTTTGTTGCAGGAAATGTTTCATTCTGCATGTTGTTTTCCTCTCCTTCCAACAAAAGGAGGTCAAATCGTGGGTTGTAAGCCTTGACAATGTCGTCTGTCCGTTCATCTGTGCCCCGCTTGACAGAGACTGTAGCTTCTCTTGCTCTCCACCGGCCCTGCATCCTTCCACATCCTCCCCAGCTCTGAAATCAACTCTGTTCGGCCAAAGCCACCTTGCACCAGCGAGTCAAGCCGCCCCTTGTAGAAACCGCCCCCCCCCCCATCCACCCTCCATCCCCTGCTAGCTCAACCCTACTAGAGGCAGGAAAGCCAGGTCGGGAGAGTCCTATTGAGAATTTATTGTGAATCGATTCCCAAGCTCCCTTCCGGGATAACTTGTGGAGGACCGGGAGGAGCAAAGGCTCCAGCGCGAGGAGCCTGGCGCATTCCTCCCTCTCCTGCCCACCTCTCGACCCAAGCGGAGGAGCCGGGGGCTCGGCGGCTGCCTGCCCCAGCGCAGAACGAGACCTGCCCCGGCGCCGGCCTTTGCCTCCCGCAACTCGGGCCTGGATGGCGGTCTGCTGGGCTGCTGCGCGCGCTTCTGGGCAACGCGGTCCCGCGTGCAAAGGAAAGAGGCGAGATCGCACCTAAGCATCGGCCCGAAGCTTACTCTCTGCTTCCCTTCTTCCCCCCTGCTCCCTCATCTGTCCAGTCCCCTTCAATTCCATGAACTCTTCTTGCTCCTGCTTCTCCCGACCTTGCAAGGGGACATTCCAGTAGAACTTTTTTTGCTTTGTCGGTGGCTGTCGTGAAATTGTGCTGTGTTTTGTGATTTCTTTGGGGGTGATCGTCTCGTCTGTTTTCAGTTGTCGCTTATATGGGAGGGTTGTGGGTGGGAACGGGGAGGGCAAGGGGCCTAAGAGCTCTGATTGTTTTGGAAGAAAAAAAAAAAACAAGAAAAAGAACAAAAAAATATATATCACTCTAGAAAACAAATCTCTCCTTGTGTCTCATTCTGTGTTGGCGCTCCTCACCTGGCCAGAGGTAGAGGTCCTAGTTCCAAGAGGGCAGCTTGGAAAAAACAGAGACTCCCGGGCCCAAGAGGTGTCTCCTTAGACCTTGCACAGAGCAGGCTTCCTGGTGGAGCTGAGAACTGGTCTGGACCCAAGGTCCCAAGACCTCTGCTTAAAGTGAGCAAGAGCCTTCCAGCAGGAGAGCTGGGAGACCGGAGGGGGATGGAAGGAAAGATGAGTGGTTTGGAGACGGGTCTCGTCTGCAGTGAGCAATATGTTCCTCCAAAGTGGCACTGGAGACCTCCCTACCAACTCCAGAGCCAGAGGGAAGGCAAGGCCTGCCCTGCCACTGCTGGAAGCAGTTCCTCTCTCAGCTGCCAGAGGACATCACCTTGGTTTGGGCACTAACTTCCTTCACCCATTCCCTGCAGCTGGGCTACTGGGCCTAGATAGAGGCCTTAGGAAGACCAGGCTGTCCTTCCTTCCGCTCAAAAGGAGTGAACCTCTGAGGGTTCTGGCCCCCACCTGGAATCTGAGGCTCGGATTTGAGCCACAGGGTAGCAGCCTTGGTGGAAAGCGGGTGGTTTGGTAAGGGGAGAGGCCTGGGCAGGCAGCTCCCATAGATAGGCAGGGAGAGGAGATTGGGAGTGCAACAGAAGTGTCTCCAGAGGGGGAAAAAAAATCACTCCCCAGTCGGACCCCAAAACTAAATGTGGTTGCCAGAGACACCTTTCTGTCCCCATCAGACCGTGGTATCCCCTCCAGAGCCTCTTAGGAAGATCGCTGCTCCCCGCGGCCTTGCCCGTCTCAGCCAGGCGTTCGGATTGGGCTTCTGCCCGCCCGGCTGGCGCTGGAGTGCCGGCCGGCTGCCAGAGCCTCCCGCCAGGCCCATCCCAGCGGCGCTGCAGCCCGCCGAGCCCCCGAGGGTTGGGGGAGAGGTGGGGACAAAGCATGGCCCGAGCGAGAGGCGCCTGGAAGCGAACAGGCCAGGCCTACCCCTCTCCAGCGAACGAAAGATATAATCGGACAGATAGCCAAAGGCAGGAGAAAGCGAAGCTCCTGGGTACGGTCCTCCGAGGAGGGTTCCATTCGGGTTATAAAATGAATCTCGCTTTAGCGCTTGTGTAGACTAGGCTCCCTCCCCATCCTGGGCGCCCTGGAGCGAGCGGGCGCGGAGGGTGAGCCGAGCAGGCAAGCTTCCGCCGAGAAGAAACGCAAAGGCGCGGCTGGAACCGGACGGAGAGCGGCGGGACAGGGGGCGCGAGGCCTCCCGGGGAAGCCTCCGGCGGCGTCTGCGTCCCGAGCCCGGGGTGGCTTCTTGAAAGACAAACAAAGGCGAAGATGCGGAGGCTGGGAAGCCGGAGATGGGGAAATCTGTTGTCATAAAAGAGAGCAGGAGATTCAGAGAGGGAGACCGCGAGAGTGCGAGACGGAGAGGCCGGGAAAGGAATTCAGTGCCGTGTGCGCAGCAATAAAAGAATATGACCGCTATAAAAGTTTATAGCGTATAAATTTCTGAAGGTTAAGAAACTAAACAGCAGCAAAGCAAACAGTGAGGGGAAACTTTCCGGAGCTGAAAGAGCCGCAGCTGGGCCTGGGCTCTGGGGCTGGCGGGCGAACGGGTGGGCCAGGCTCCGGAGCCCCCACCCTCACCCGTCCCGGGCCGCGGGGCTTGGGGTTTGGGGGGGCGCCCAGGGGGCAAAGAGGGGAGAAGGGGGACTGGGGAGGGAAGAACACTTTGTTGTCACACAAGCTTCAGAGAACGCAATTCGGACTCTTCTCTTTGTTCTTCACACCCCCTCCAGAATCGGGCGTCGTAAACGAGAAGCCCCCTGCGCACACGCGCGCGCGCGCACACACACACACACACACACACACACACACGGGTCCGGCGGGGCCAGACGTCTGGGCGCGGGCAGCCTCTTGATCCTTTTACAGCCCCCTCCCACCCTCCCAGGCCTCTTCTTTCCCCCCCCCCGCCCCGCAAAAAAAGCCCAATTGTTTCTCCTCAGAATTTGAAACAATCGTGTTGGGTTTGAAAAGTGCTCGGCTCCCCCCTTTTACGGGCCATAAAGGGCGCACTGCCTGGCGGTCTCCGCCAGAAATTAGGGGCTTGCTGGGGGGCGGGGGTCAGTACGAGAGGAAAAAAGCTTATGGTTTCTTTTTTCCCTCCCTACCCCCCTCGCCTTTTTTTTTTTTTTTTTAGCTTATCTGCACAATTTCATGAGCCATTCCCTGATTTCCGATGTCTTTTCTCTCGCCTGCTCTCGTTTCCCTCCCCCTTTTCTGCTAATAATGAAAGTTTCTCGCGCTTGTCGCCTCGGTGGCTGGCTCTCCGGAGAAACTGGCCGAACCGGTGGCGGCGGCGGCGCCTTTTCTCAGGATGGCCGCTAGATGGCACCCTTGCTCCACGCGAAAATCCCCGGAGCGAAGGCTGCGGACTCTGGCGGCTGCACATCGCACCTTGGTCGGCCCGGAGTCTGTGAACTGAGCGCTACCGAAAGTCATGAATAATTTGCGCGTAATAAAAATATAGGGTTCATTATGGCCGTTCCCCCCGTTTTATAGATTTCAGATATAACGTATTGCGTCCCCCCCAATGGTCAATTTTCTGAGTTTTCCCCAGGAGGAGGTCTCAGTGCTTCTCACCCAGTTTCTGTGGTCGGTGGGGCAACAAATGCATGAAAACGGGGAATAGTAATAATAATAATAATAAAAGAAAAATGGGCAAAATAAAAGAGGAGAATTAGTTCGGAAAAATGAGATTTTCCAGGAGGGGGGCTAGAGGAATATCTGCGGATGCGGGTGAGCAGGTCAGGTGAAAGGGTCGAGCGGGCAGAAGAAGGTCGGATGGAGAGGAAGCTGCCCCGAAACGGGATCAGCAGCAGAGGGAACCGGATGAGCCAGCCCGCGGTGTGTGGGGTACACCTTGGGGGGGGTGGAATGGATCCCCGGCTTTGGTGGGGATTCGGAGGTGCCCAAAGCGGGCGGAGCGGATCAGCACGGACAGAGGCTTCAGAGCCTTTGTACGCGTCCGGGGCTGGGCGCGCGCCGGGTGAGCCAGGCGCGGGGCAGGGGCTCCCCAGGACCGCGAGGCGCGGGGAGGTCTCGTATGTTTTCTCGGTTGTTCTGCGCGCCCCAAGTTGGGCAGCCCAAAAAGTGTGCGTTTGCAGGATGGATGTGGGAGAAGGCACGG